ACTAAATATTACTAAATTTGGTTCTGGGTCTAGGGATAGAGCTGAAGTTCTGAAATTTCATATTGAAGTCACTGTTGGTTTTTATAGTTTACATATGGAGACGTTAACATTGTTTTAGACGGAAAAATTGGATTTGGGGCCATTGAGCAATGGTTTTAGTAATGTCCTCCTAATAATAATATATAAAACCTTCAAAGTCTGAAAATTAAAAATTTTCATCAAACTGAACAGATTGTAGATTTTGTAGTCAGACCGGACTTTTGATATCCTCCGCCATGATAAACACGAATTCAAAAGCCCATATCAAAAATATTTTATAAGCCAGTTAGATACTTATTAGAAACTTCAAATACGAAATTTCGGAAAATTTGTAAAATTAGGGAAATCCATTAGAATACCGAATAAAGATAGAGTTCCGTTAGTACTAATGGGAGTTTTACCTCAATATGGACCTATATTAACTCTTTTTTTTTTGCAAGTTGGTTATGAACCCTAAACATTTACGAATACCATATTCCAGACACAGTTCCCTTCGAAAATATGCCGAAGATCGTCGATATTCTTCAAATGAGTAGGTATCGATATATGGGAGCCATACCGCAATGTGGACTTATGTTAACAAGGTGGTTAGGAATCCGTAACCACCTTCAAATAACAAATTCCAGACAATTCCGTTGAAAATTTTGCATATAATCTTGGAAATGTTTAAAGAGGGCAATACGAAAAAATATGGTCAATATAACCCATCTTCGAACTGGATCTAAGTCCATGACCAAAACGCAAGTGTACTAAATTTCTGAACTTTAGCTCAATTCTTTCGGAAGATAGCATGATTAAGATAGACCGACGGTCGAGTATGACTAAATCGAATCGAATTAGAATTATACGCTTGTCAGGAGTCTAAAATGATTATTCGATGAGCTACAAACGGTATCACAAACCTAATATATCCTCCATAGCATGGTGTAGGACATGTAAAGACCTAACACGAACTGTTGGAACGAATTAAAAATTTTTAGATAGACTTTTAGTTGAAGAAGGTGTGGGCACTTGCTATTGAGAATTAAAGCCCTTACACCCAGTAGAATACAACCTCCTAGGCTTTCAAATGTCATTCCATTACATAATCAGTAACAAATATTGGATCGCAAAAAAACTCACCATTTTGAAATCTGATAAACAATAACAACAGAAAAAAAGAAACTGCTGCAAATTATTGTGACAGCTGAACATAGAAATCACTGAAACGAAAAGTTGAACTTGGTAACAAAATCAAACAATCGAAAGAACAAAATGGAAGGAAGTAGAAGCACAGCAGCGGGAGCGGGAGCAGTAGCAGAAGAAGATGGGTAAATGAAATCCGATTAAATTTCTATTGGTTTCACATGAATGACATGCTCTCGTCGAACTGAGTTTCGATACATTGGAAATTGGGTGGACAAATGGAAAGATGGGTTGGGATGGATGCATGAATGGCGGAAAGGAATATGTATTTGGTAATAGCGAGTGTATTGACGTCGCAATGATTTGCAATTACATAAGAAGTGGTCTATGGAAACGTTTAAAAGGTCAATATTATGTAACAATGTAGGGACAAATAATAAGCACTTGAAAGATAATGAACAATGCCGCCACAAACATAACGGGGGAGATTAGGGGAAATGGTAAAACTTTTTATGGCTGGAATGCATCATCAATACATTTCCAATACAGCCTAAGCTATGTCCCTAGGATTTTTTGTTGAAAACAAGTCAGGATACATTCGAGGTTGTAAATGCTTTTTTTTAGTCTTAGACCCCGAGTCTTCAAAATCTTTCATTTTGAAGTTTACCGAGGAGGATAATAGTAAAACCATTGCACATTGAACCCATATCAAATTTTTCTGTTTAAAAGTACTTCAACGTACGTTAACACTAGGGACAAAAGTTGACCTCGCTATCAAATTTCAAAATTTCTAGTTCTAACCCTTTACCCAACACACAATTTAGTAATATCTCCAACCTAGACACCAACAGTGTTCCAAAGTTAGTAACATTCACTAACAATTATGGTACGCATTTGCAAGACCAACTCCAGATCTCAAGGTAAGATACCAAGAAATACATCAATATCAAATTTCTGGATTCTAGCTCTATCCCTTAACCCAATAACCAATTTAGTACCATTTAATACTTTTCAAAAAAGTATAGTACACATTTCCAAAACCACCTTCATATCTTAACCACAGGCACCAACAGTGATATCTATACCAAATTTCGGGACTCTGGATTCATTCATTCACCCAACATCCAATTTAGTACCATTTTGTACAATTATAGTAAGCATTTCCAAAACCAGCTCCTTCTCTCAACCGCAGACACCAACAGTGACGTCCATATCAAATTTTAGAATTCCAGCTCTATTTCTTCACCCAATACCAAAATTGGTACTATTTAGTACTTTTCCTACAATTATAGTACACATTTCTAAAACCATAACCGGATCTCAACATTAGATACCAACAGACACCTAAATATAAAATTTGGGGATTACAGCTCTATTCCTTGACCCGATGCCAAATTCAGTACCAATTAGTACTTTTCGTACAATTATAGTACACATTTCCAAAATCAACTCCATTTCTTAATCACAAATACCTACAGAGACCTCAATATCAAGTTTTCAAAAATTGGCAGCTCTATCCATTCACCCCATACACAATTTAGTACCACGTAGTACTTTTCGTACAAATATAGGCTGATTTTCCAAACCACCGCCAAATCTCAAACACAGATAACATCAGTAATTCAAATATCAAATTTCAGAATTTTATCTTTATCCCTTCACCCAATATCAAATTTAATATCATTCAGTACTTTTCGTATAAATATGATGCATATTTCCGAATCCACCTCCATATGTCCAGGCTACACATGCACAACGGCCCTTAGACAAATTTCAGAATTCAAGCTATGTAGGTTAACCATAATTCCAATTTGAGCCAAATTAAATATCATTTAGTACACATAGGTACAAATTTCCATAAGAACCTGCATCTACAATGCAATATAAATTGCAGCCCTATTGGTTCACTTAAATCCAAATTTTACCAAATTTAGTACCATTTAGTACACATAAGTACGAAATTCCAAAGCTTCTTAAATACCGCAATTTAGACTCCAACAATAATGCCAATTCCAAGTTTCAGGATTACAGCCCTATCGGTTCAGCCGAATCCAAATTTAGTACGCATAAATACGAATTTCCAAAGTTTGCTACATGCAACAATCCTGCACTTCCAAAGAATTTCAGCATCTAGAATTCAACCTCTATCGACTCACTCTAATCCAAATTTAGTTCCATTTAGTGCACATAAGTAAGAATTTCCAAAGCTTCCAAAGTAATCCTAATTCGAAATTTCCGGATTCTACCCTTATCGGTTCGCCCAAATACAAATTTATACATTTTAGTAAATATAGTACAGTTTCCAAAACTATATCCATTTAGTAATCCTACACTCCAACAGAAAGCGTAATTCCAAATTTAAGGATTTCAGCTATATCGATTGACTCCAATCCAAATTATACCAAACTTAGTACATTTTAGTATATAAGTATAAATTTACAAAACTATATCAGGATAGGAGCTCTATTGGTTCATCAGAATCCAAATTGTACCAAATTTAGTACCATTTGGTACACATTAATATGAATTTCCAAAGCTTTCTACACACAACAATCCTACACTTCCAAAGTAATCCCAATTCCAAATTTTAGAATTCCACCCCTATAGTACATATAAGTACAAATTTCCAAAACCATCACTATATCCCAATATTATACTCCGACAGTTATCGAATTTCCAAAATTCAGGATATCAGCTCTATTGATTTACCCAAATCCAAATTGTACCGAATTTAGTACACATGAGCACAAAATTCCATAACTACCTACATCATGCAATCCAATAGAAATTTGCATCCAATTTCAGGTTTCTACCAGTTCTCCTAAAATTTAAATTGTACTAAATTTGTACCATTCTGTACTTTTCGTTTCATATCCCACACTTCGTCTATAATGTTAATCTATAAATTCCAGTATTCTAGTTACATCCGTTAGTCCAAATTCAAATTGTACCAAATTTAGTACCTTTTAGTACTTTTCGTGTACATGAGTACACACATCCAAAGCCAACTCCTTACATCGACCCTACTCCTCAAATTTTAAGTTGTAAGCTCTAATCATTCAGATAACAGGAAATAGTATCTGATGTTGTACATTTTAGTACTTTTCGTACTCTTTGGTATACCCGTCATGCACTCCATCTGTGACCCTCATTCTCAATTAAAAAAAAATAATAATAAAAATCGTCAAATACAAAACGTACCATATTTAGAAGCCTTTTTGTATTTTTCGTACTGTTCTAGCACTAATTTCCAATAACCCAACATTATCTGACACTTTCGGAACAAGAGTGATCCTCAACCAAAATTTCAATTACTTTACTGTTTTATTAATATAACGCATTGTGAGGCTGGTACCAGAAGGAGTGTAGATATATTTATTACATATCCTACATTCGAGAGTCATCGGGCGGAAGGACAGCACTGGATCGACTCCAAATGTCTTGAAACGGATGAGGCACGTTTTTTGGCGTTTATACACTCTGTAGTCAAATGACTCTGCCTATACAACGTTTTCTGCTCAACATAATAGATATAAGTGTGTGGATCATTTTCGGTGCTGTCCCCTTTTTTCACTTCAAGGTTCATAATTTCCAACTGAGTTGCCTGAGAGTTAGCATTTAGAGTTTTCAGTGACTAGAAGACCTCGCAGCTTCTGAAAAAGAGCCATAGAATATTTCACCCCACACCTGCAATACTATTGTAGTCCCCATAGTTAAATCAACAAATATAGATTTCCCATCCAACAATCACCCACACATATGTTCTCCAGAAGCTTCAACAAAAATACCCTTTTGACCCATTTACCTCCCTTTCCCAAATAAATCAACCAATGAAATTCTGCTGATAATACAATCTTTTTTTTATTCATCTAAATACTAAGCCAATTACATACATAGCCGAAAAGTGTATAAAAAAATGAATTTCATTGAGTTTTCTTAACATTTATGTCTATGGCAGCCAAAGAAAATGGGGTTTTCAGTAAAAGTACGAAAATGAAAAACTTAGTCTTAGTGAAGAAGAAAAATAAAACCAAAATTGTGGAATGAAAATGAATTTGTCAAAATTTACGATTTGCTCTCTAAAAATGTTCTAAGCGCTTGAGATGAGAGTGGTTGAAGGTGACCCCGTTTCAGTTTGTGGTCACTTGGGGAGCATAGACCAAGGGAGTGTGATAGGCTCGGACAATTTGAGATGTGAGGGTACGAACAGCGGGTGCCACAATGGGTGTTACCACCCGGGCGTGTTTGTGAACCACAGTTTGACGTTGGTGGGATACAGCGGTGGGAATTTGTTGTACAACCTCGCCCACTCGGGCAATGATGGGCTGTTGAATGGTTATGGTTTCGGGTGCAATGACGGTACGCAAACCAGGCCGCTGGGAGATGGTAATGGGGAGGGGAATTGTCTCGGCAGGCAAGATGCGATGTTGTATGGTGGTCGATGATCGGGCCGAGACCAAGGGAGATGAGGCCGATGCTTGAGCCGTTGTGGAAGAAGATACCAAAACGGAGGGCCGAGACAAACTAACCGATGAGAGACCAGACAAATTGGAACTTGGTCGAGCACGATTTACACCAGCCGGCGAGGCAGCGGCTGGGGCACTTGTTGGTTGTGCTGGTGCTCCGGAGGCAGGAGCGGGTGATGGTGCTGAAACAGCGGCTGATGGTGCGGCAGAGGCTTCCTCTGAGGCCTGTTCTTCATTTTCCACACTGTTGGAGGTGTCTTCGGCGGAAATTGCATTCGACAGTGATACCGAACTGCTGCCACGCAACGAGGATGCTGATAATTTGCCACTGCTCAGAACCGTGTAGGAATCGTCGGGTACCACCAAATGCAAATTCGACAAGGAAGCCTCATTTAAGTTAACCAAAGCCAAGGTGAAAAGTAACTAAAAAATTGGGGAAAAAATGTTTTCAAAAATTTTCCTGAAGCTTTTCTTTCCCTTTGACCTACCAGTCTGAACATTTTGCTTAGAAATCTTTCAAAACTGCTCCCGTATTGTTGTGTTTTTAATCAACAAAAACTAATTATGTATTAACAATAGTCAAACCTAAACTGATAGTCTGACGTGTTTTAGAGTTCGGCTTTTATAGGTCTTTGGACGACGGCTTTGGAAGCAATCAAAAGGGGTTTTACCCATCATCCGCCACTCATGTTGATGTCATTTCCTAAATGCTTCAATGCATCTCAATTATTATTTTGATTGATTGACGACATTAGAAGAAAATTCGTATGGGAGGATAGATGTCGCTATTGATGCATTACAATAAATTCAGATTAAGTTACGGAGTGGCTTTTGTTCTATTTAGCAAATTTAGCAAAAATTATGATTTTAATAACAACACTTGTGTTAATTTATTACAAACTAGCAAGTGGCCGCTATTTCGTCAGCAAAAGGTATACCTTAAAATTTTAGATTCGTTCCAACAGTTCGAGATAGGATTTTTTGTATGCCAAATGCACAATTCATTCTGTTTGACAAAATGTTTCCACCCAGGTTTTAAACATTATTGACGTTTTTAACAAGTACCAAATTTAGTAACATTTACTACGCATATCCAAAACAATCTGCAATCCATCATAGACACCAAGAGTGATCCGCAATTAGTACCATTTAGTACTTTTTCGAACAATTATAGTACACATTTGCAAAACCACCACCTGATCTCAACATGAGATACCAACAGAGACCACAATATCAAACTTCGGGATTCCACCTCTATTCCTTCACTCAATTCCAAAATTAGTGATATTTAGTACTTTTCTGAACAATTATAGTACACATTTCCAAAACCAACACCAGATATCAAAATAGTACTCAATATAAAATTTTCACCCAATACCCAATACAGTACCACGTAGTACTTTTCGAACAATTATAGTACACATTTCCAAAACCACCTCCATATCTTAACCCGGCACAGTGACCTTTAAATCAAATTTCGGAATTTCAGCTCAATCGGTTCACCCAAATCCAAATTGTGCTAATTATAGTGCACATAAGTACGAATCTCCAAAACTTCCTAAGTACCCCAATCCTATACTCCAAATTTCCAAAACTATTTCGAAGCTCAATCATACAATCCCATAGAAATCTCATTCCCCAACTTCAGGATTCCAGCCCTATCGGATCACCCCAATCCGAATTTTACTAAATTTAGTACACATAAGTACGATTTTTCAAATATACACTCCCACAGTAATCCCAATTTCAAATTTCAGGGTTCCACCCCAATCGGTTCGCCCAAATACAAAATGTGTCCAATTAATTACCATGAAGTACACATAACCACACATTTCGAAAACTACCTCCAAACCCAAATTTCAGGATACCAACTCTATCGGTTTACCCATAACTTGTCCATATTTTACCAAATTTAGTACATTTAAGTACGTAAAAGTACACATTTCCAAAACTAACTCTATATCCCAAATTGTACCGAATTTAGTACCATTAAGTATACATTAGTACGAATTCCCAAAACTTCCTAAATACCACAATCCTGCGATAGAAATCTTATTAGTCCATTGGTTCTCTAAAATATAAATTATCCCAAATTTAGTACATTTATGTACGTAAAAATACACATTTCCAAAACTACCTACATAATACAATCTAATTTAGGATTCCAACTCCACCGGTTACCCAAAAATTTAAATTGTACCGAATTTAGTGCTCATAAGTACGAATTTTCAAAACAACCTATTTCCTTAGCCTGCATCGGTATACCCAAATTATTAGCAAACTTCATTATTCCAGCTCCATTGGTTCACCAAAATAGAAATTATACCAAATTTAGTACTTATCGTGCACATAAGGACGAATTTCCAAAACTATCTCTACTCCTCAATCCAACAATGCAATAGTAATTTTTCCAAATCGTCCCAATCGACTTCATCAGTGACCCGCATTCCAAATGTAAGAGATATAGCCCTACTGATTCCTCAAATACAACGGGGCGATTTTTAGTACATTTTAATACTTATGGTACCGTTCTAGTACGAATTTAAAAAAACCCAGCCTTGTCTGACCCGTTAGGACCAAGAGTGACCCTCACCCAAAATTTCAAGATTTAACTTCAGCTTAAGTCATTCAATCAGTCAGTCAATTACTTTACTCTTTATAGCCCACACCACATAGTGTTAAGATTATAGACCCATAATTACTTTGAAGGATCTTCATAGAATTCATTCTAATTCGATTTATGCATGTCAATCCGTCTGTCCATGCAGTTTTGTGAACAAAATGCAGGTCGTTTTTAATTTCCGAGTGAGATAAAATTTTCCAAACAATATTTGTTTGGTCCACGACGAACCCCATTGAAATTGGTGTGAATTGGTTCAAATTTAGATATAGCTCCAATATATATCTTAAACCGATTTCGGGTTAATTGTGCAACAAATAACCAATATCAGTCCAAATGACCTGATATCAGATACGGCCCAGAAATACCTCTGCCATATTGTATCAAGATCGATTCAGATTTGGATATAGCTTCCATATATATCTTCAACTGATTTCAGGTTAATTGTGCACCAAATTGCCAATATCATTTTAAATGACTTGAATTTTGGTACATGTAACCGAATTCAGTCCAGAAGCAAGTACATTAAATTTGGCGAAAATCGGTCCAGATATAGCTATAACACCCATATTTATGTTTCATTCCTACATTCGTAATATGCACCCCACAAGAATGATACTTAGTACCAGATATCAGATACAGCCCAGAAATACCTTTGCCAAATTGTATCAAGATCGGTTCAGATTTGGATTCCGATTTGTGCACCAAAACGCCAATATCAGCCCAAACGACCTAAATTTTGACACATCTGGCCGAATTCAGTCTAGAAGCAAGTACTACAAATTTGGTGAAAGTCGGTTTAGATATAGCTATAACTCCCATATATATGTTTCATCCGATTTGGTCTTTAAGTCCCTCACATTCGTCATATGCATTCGACAACAATGATATTTGGTACCAGATATCTTATAGAGCTCGGAAATACCTTTGACAAATTTTATCGAGATCGCCTAAGATCGGGATATAGCTCCCATATATATGCTTAATTCGATTTCAGGTTTGTTGTTCAAATAATGGCTAATATTAGCCCAAAATCGAGAGAATTTCGGGTCGTACGTTTCTATTTGGTGCATCTCGACGCCGATAAACATTTTTGTCGAAGTGATATCCTACACTCTATAGCAATGTTGTTTGGTATAAAAGATTAAAATGTCTCCGTCAAATTTAGTGAAAATTGATTCAGAATTGGACATGCCTTCCATATATTAGTTCCCTCTGAAACCAAATTATATTTGTTACGGGAGCTCTACTAAATATGCATAGTGATGCAGGGTATCATATAGTCGGCCTAAACCGACTTTTGACTTTTTCTATTGGTACATACGTATTAAGATGTTGAATTTGTATTAGTAGCTGTTTCTAAAATACCTTCTCAAAGGTACTAATGCGTCCCATTCCAAAGGCAGAATTAACTCAGGGCATACCAAAGTGTAAACATGTTAAAAAGCAGTAAGTTCCGCCGGGCCGAACTTTTAATACCCTCCACCATTTGAAACGAATTTGAAAATTTTCAAAAAATAAAATCCTTAAAAAATTCTGTTAAAATTTTAAAAATACAGAATATAGCCGTTATATTGGGGTCTATACGACGTGGACATACATAGACATTGTTTGTCATAAGCCATTACCATATTTCATATTCGAAACTTGAAATAAACGGTGAATAATGTAGCTAAAATCATCAAAATATCGTATATAAGGAGGTGCCGTTAAATTGGAGCTGTGCGAAGACCTGGAGCAGCATAGACAATTTTCTGTCACAGGCTGTAGCATCCATTACGAACTTCAAATACCACATCTCAAACAATTTCGGTGGGTATTGTACCTAAAATCGTCAAAATACCGAATATAGGGAGGTACTGATATATGGGGCCTATACAAAGACCTGGACCCGCACAAACATTTTTCTGTCACAGACTGTAGTTCCCATAAAGAACTTCAAATACCAATTTTGAAACAATTCCGGTGAATAATGTCGCTAAAATCATCAAAATACCGAATATAGGGAGGTACTGATATATGGGGCCTATACGAAGACGTGGACCTGCACAGACAATTTTCTGTCTTAGGGTGTAGTATCCATTTTGAACTTCAAGTACCAAATTTGAAACATATCCCGTGAATAATGTCGTTAAAATCATCAAAATACCGAATATCGGGAGGTACCGTTATATGGGGGCTATACGAAGACATGGACTTGCACTGACAATTTTCTATCATAGGGTGTAGTATCCATTTGCAACTTCTAATACCAAATTTGAAACAATTCCGGTGAATAATGTCGCTAAAATCATCAAAATACCGAATATAGGGAGGTACCGTTATATGGGGGCTATATGAAAACATGGACCTACATGGCCTATTTACGAACTTAACCTTCGTACTGGAAAAATAAACATGTATGCAAAATTTTAGCCATCTATCTCAATTTATTCGAAAGATAGCGTGATTACAACAGACGGACATCGCTAAATCGACTTAGAATTTTACGCTGATCAAGAATATATATACTTTGTTGGGACTGACATGAGTATTTCGAGGAGTTACAAACGGAATGACAAAGTTAATATACCCTCCATAGTATGGTGGAGGGTATGAAAAAATTCTGATTTCGACGACCCAAAATGTACACCCTGTTTACAAAACTTGTCATTTGAAACTGTATCAATAATAAAATATGTATATTTTTCATCCATCCACCATCCCCCCAAATTATTGTGACGTCAGAAAATTGTCTTCGACTGCCATAAACGCCATAAATAGCTATGTTAATTGAATTAACAAAATCTATAATGCTTTTAAGATGTCATTGTTGTTGTTGTTATTCTTGCCATAATCGCTACGGCATAAGTGTTTTCCTCTCTATATTTTTCCTGCCCAAAGTGAAAATAATTTGAAGCGTAATATCCCGCAAAATAAATGGTGTGACGTCCTCCTCGTTAACTTAGTTTGTGATTTTAATTAGATTTAATTTCTTTGTTAATATCAAT